CAAGTACATGAAATTAAAATAAATTTTACCGAGCATTGAGGGATTAAAGGGATTAATGAGTGGATTTCAACAAAAGTGAGAGAGAGAGAGAGAGAGAGAGAGGAGTTTATATTGCGCAATCATGTTACAGCGAATTTTTTCTAATTTTTAAATTTGTTCGATTTTTTAATTTCATACATTTATTTCCATTCTTACAAATTTATTTTATTTTTGTACTCAAACAAAAAGATTGAAAGAGAATTGAAAGAGTAAAATGAAAAAAAATATGGTGCACGTGCTCAAAAATAGCGTATAATTTATTAGTAAAAGAACGTAGGCGTATACGAATCCACAGAGCATTTAGGAATTTAAAAAAAACAATTCGCACAAATTTCAATTTTGAATATTTTATTTTATAAAACTGTTTCAACGCGCTTTAATTAACATACATTTAACAACATAAATAATAGTTTCATTTTTGTTTCATTTTACAAAAATAAATTTCTCTTTCATTCTATTAAATTTTTGAAAGAATGCTCCGTGTGATTTACGATTGATCTTTTTTTCTTTGTCAAGATTTAATTTATACTCTCTGTGTGATTAATTAAATTTTTTTAGTCCGCGCTTTTATGTTGTACGAAATATCCAAATATGGCATTCTTTGAATCGGGAATTGAATCCATTTGAGGCATCGCTATAACCGACAACTTATTAATTATCGACATTGAAAGTTGAAATTAAGCGGAAATGAGATTCCGTTATTCTCATTTGCGGATTCGCGGTTTAATTTGGAAATTCACTTTTTCATCCCGATATGTTAAGTAATCCCGTAAATATTGAGCTTGGAAGTCCAGTATCGATTTGCAATGAAATACAAAAACTGGCTGTTTACTGCCGTGCAAATTGCGAATTAAACATTAAACGCGAGAAGATCTCGAAAAACGGAGCAAATGATATTTTTGCGAGGGAAGAAATCTTTGAATATTCCTTTTGATATCTGGTGTTCTGAATAGAGGGAGCGGAATTGTGCTTCTAAATTTATATAATGCAAAACGAGAGGGCTTTCACATATGTATGTATATATAACTGAAATTCCCTTAAAGAGACGACTGAATAGATGGGAATGAGAGAAAAGGGTAAAGAGAAAATCTCTTATCAATTCAAATTTATATATCATCCACATTTCAATCTTTTACAAATAAATCCGTTTAAAGAATAAAAATCGCGGAATATTTTGTTTGTAGAATTTATGTTTTGACGTTTGAAACACACAATGAATTTCCACTCTTCTTTGAGAAAAATATCTCGTGTCATTTTTCACGCTTCCATCGCCGAACATAGGGATAGAGATCATTTTTGCACGTCCTTGATACAGGAATATAACTTTGAAAAAGCAATTTTTTTCCAGATATCGGATCGCAAGTATAACGCGATTGAAGCAAATCATCGTTAATTATTCAGTCGATTCGTTAGAGAACGTGACTGGTTGCGCGAGTGCACACTTATTATTACACGCTTTCTTGCACATGTACGTCTCACACAGACACATATTCGTTCGTTACAAGATTCCAATTTGATGTCAGTAACGATACATCCGTCTTTTTGGCAGCACGTAAAAAGGTCATGATCAGAAGAGAAAAAAAAAAGCGGCTAAAAAGAGAGAAAAAAAGAGAGGATGAGGAACAGAGAGGAAACAGAGCAGACTACCAAATGAAAGAAGTTAAACAAGAGCGACAGAGATAGACGACGTTATATCTCATTCCTCAAGCTCTTTCTCCTTTCTCGAGAAATTTCCCGTGCAGGAAATATGATTCCTGATAGAGGCGTCCTTCGTTTCGAGCCGCGTTCGTTTCTTTTCTCTTCCTTCCTTCCTTCCTTCCTTCCACCCGTCAGCTTCTCTATCGCCGTGAAGAGGAGACCTCTCGCTTCTCCATCATCCACATTCTCCCGTAGAATTAATATCGCCCCGTGAAATCCTAATCGCCATAAGTTCTCGTCGGATTGACGTTAACGGGTGTTATCCGCTCCGGTAAATCGATATTAGCGCGCGAGTTGTTAGCGTTTAGCAGCGTATACCTAGAGCGCACCCTTCTAATCGCACCTCCGATTTTCGACACGATGTCCTCGGGGCGACATTATCCTGCCGGATTTCTCAATGACCTCAATTTCATCCCTGTCATTCCGTACTTTCCTTTCTTTTTCCTCGCGCACCGCCTCCGTCGCGTCTCCTCCGCCGCTCGTTCGCGTGACGCGAATTTCTTTCCGCACACATGCGAATTGGAAAATCGTGGCACAAAGGAAGAAAGAAAGGAAGGAAGGAAGGAAGGAAGGACGACAAAAAAAATCTCGGGGAAGATGCGTTCTAGCGCAAAAAGACAGTCGTCACGTCTAAGCACTTCGCGAAATATCGCGAGCGCGTGCGGCTGAAACATGCGCGGCCGTCGTTGCCGTCACTGTCACCGTTACCGTCACCGTCACCATCGTCGTCGTCGTCGTCGTCGTCGTCGTCGTCGTCGTCGTCGTCGTCATCATCATCATCGTTGAGACTCGAACGAAGCTACATGGACTCTCGCGAAGAGGTGGCGATAAACAATACACGCATACTCACGCATGTATCACGCACAGTACACCACGGAGATGTCAAAGAAAGGCAAACATAGAGCATAGAGCGCACGGGACAGATAGACGAACGGGGAGCGCGAGAGTGTGTGACTCACCTGTTGCCGAACGATATCGGGAAACGCGCGATAGCACCACCACCGCACATAGGCTCTCTCTCTGTATCGAGAAGAGGGAAGAGGGAAAGTGGGAAAAGAGGGAAACACCGCGGCGACGGCGGCGGCGGCGACGGCGGCAGCGACGGTGGTATTAGTGGCTGCGGCGGTGGCGGCTGGAAAAGAGAGCAAACA